CATCCAAACACAAGCCTTACAAACAATACCCAAACAACGACAACAATCAGCACTGAAAACACTTCTATCAAAGATACAACGAGAATCCAACAACCACAGAACATTTATGGCCAAAATGTATTGAAAACAAACGTCTCTCAGCATACAACCAATCAAAAGAGCGAGTTTAAAGTMTTCGATTTACCTGCAAACAACAGGGGAATAAACCCAGACGCAGACATAAATGGTTCGATTATTAAAACCCAACATATTAGCACAAAGGTCGAAAGCTCTGATTTAGTCATTCATAGACTCCAAAACCAAAACCCCGTCCCCGGTAAAGCAGTGACAGCAAAGGAATCTGTAACGATGAGACAAACAAATCACCCAAAGTATTTAACGGAAAGTGTAAATGCAGAAGACAAGAAGAGGAACTGGAGAAGAGAACAAATGGAACATAGACTTTCTACTGAGTTACTTCGTAATGAACGACAACCTCTGATGCATGCCTCTGGACTTGCATTAAAATCGGTTATGCCAGAATTATTTACAAAAATTAAAGAGCGGGACCAGAAASAAAACGGGGACGTAGCCATAGCAACATAGATTCCCTCCCCGATCGAGAGACATTCACAACAAAAACCTTGATGGACTATTCACCACTCAGAGATGGTGGAAGAAAGTCTACTGGAAAGTCATCATGAAAGTCACGCATCATCGATACAGATGACCGGTGCCTAAAGACATTGCAACAATCTTGTGCTCACCCTGTTAACATAATGCATATCTATGGCAATAATCATCCAATGTTACATGCAACTTTACTAAACAATCAATAATCAAAATAAGAAAAAAGAAAAACACAAAAAACTTAGAGGCACCCACAACTATGTGGGCAGAATCTAGAACTGCTATAAACCATACMAACAATCGCAATTAAAGTAAAGCATGTTAGTTAGCAATCATACCTTTGAATGTAACCAGTTGGTCTGCGATAATAAAACCAGGATAAAATCTTATCAGATCATTCTCTATTGTGACTGTCAATACTACTAGTTTTACAAATGAAAAATATAAGAAAAGAAAATAATTTAGGAATTGTGTTAGTTCGAATAGCTTTTAATTTCAAAGGAGTGGAGGGAACC